GCCACATGAAAATTTTAATATGACAAGGAGGAAATATGAGTTTAATGTACTGAAGCCCAAAGCTTCTGTAAGCTAGTGGATTGCTGAATCAGTTGCTAAACAAAAGTCTTCATTTCATTTCACTGGTGTTAGTCTACTCCTCTTTTTTTCTTTTATCTGGGTATTCCAGCTTCCTAGGAAGTGTCTGCTTTGTGCTAAAAAAAGGCCTATATTCTTTGTCAGGCTTCAGAGGAGACCTAGCCCTTTCCTATCTGCTGATCAGAAATCCAATAAAAATCCCTGTGTGTTATTCCCAAGATATGACTTCATGGTTCCTATAACATGAAATTAATTTCCCTAGCTTTGAAATGCATAAGCTATCTCCTTATTGACTAAGGCACACTTTGTCACAATTTGGGGTCTGATTACCCCAATAAATGTGACATTATTAAAGCGCTGGTACAGCTCTGGAATTGATTTGGTGTTTCCTTATATAATTAGGATGTCAACAGTTACAGCTAGCCAAGTGGGTAAACTAAGAGCCATATTCCAGGGGATCTACCCTCTGGAAGTGGAGCGGTGGGAAAAAGAGATAACCTCTGCAGGGAAGTTAATTCATAACCTGTTCCACTGAAGCATCTGAACTTGGCACCAGTTAGAGGTAAGGTACTAAGGTAAGAGACCAGCAGTTTCCTTAGGTACAGTTGTCCTGCTCCACTGGGATGCATCCTCACTTAGCACCTGGCACACGGAATCTGCAAGGCTCATGCTATGGCTAAAAACACAAGGCCCAACCTGAGTCCCACCAGCAGTGGAAGGACTCCCACTGAAAAGAAAGGGAATTGGCCCAGGCCTTTAAAAAATCACATCTGATCCTCAGGACACTTCTATTTGAGGGTCCTTCATTAAAGCTGCACTGCAGAACAGTTTCTTCACATCTCTGCACTAATCCCCCAACTTCCACAGCACACTGTGCAAGATTGCCTTTTGCTTGTGACAGTTTTGGCTCAAGAATGCACCTTCTTTACAATGTAAGGAAAGAATTAAAGCACCGTAAGTGATTCAGGCCTAAAAGGAAAGTGAGACTTACAGGTACCTGACTTGATAGACTCAGGTTTGCAGCAGCTGACTTTTTCTTGCTGTTGGTACTATTTGCGTTGTTCCCAGCACTACTGTTGGAAGTGCTGCTGGTAGAGTTTTTCCTTTTTCTCCGTTTGGTTGTCGGTTGTCTTGTGGGTTCTGCTGCAATAAAATGATAAGAAGGAAAGCAAATGGCAGACACTGTAAAGCATATACTAAAATGATCCATAAATATGTTTTCATCTGGTGTTTAACAGTAGTGGTATTAGATTTAACATACAAACCATAGAATGGTATTTGGGCTCAAACCAATGTAATCTGCTTTCAATTTTGTATATTGGACTAATAAAGATTATTGTTGCAGCATTATCTATAAAGATACTTGAAAGCATTTTCCAATGGGAATATCATAACTATGATGACGCTCAAAGTGACTGTGTAACTTGAGGAAGGTCACACAGCAAGTAACTGTGCTAAACAAAAATCCAGGTCATATTCTGATGTAGGGCACAACTGACACAACCTCAACTGACCCAGCCAGAGACAAAGACTTTCTCCTCTACTGCAGCATACAAGCAGCTGCCATTAGAGTTCCCTCTACCTCCAGTGTTGGCTTCACCTTGGAAACTGCTGCTCCCAAGAGAACATGTTAGAACAAGCTGAATGCCATTTCTCTGCAAGTCTTCATACTCAGACTGAATCAGGACAACTGCACAACTTTGCTTAAACTGGCAAAGAACAGAGAAGCAATTGTACTTCTCAAACTTTGGCCTGGGCACCCATGTGAATAGTCCTTGATATACAAACCTTTATAATCTGAAAAAAGAGAGAATTATTATTTTGAGGTGTAAGAGGAAGGAGATTAGGTCCAAGCCTGTAAATAACTTTATATTAGTCTCAAAGACAATTAATTATGAATTGTAGCTGTAATTTCAGAGTCACAGCAGGAAGCTGCATTACATAAACGATGAATTCTAATGGAGCCAGTAGGCATTTTGCATTCCATCTACACATTTTTTTGTACTAAATTATATCCCAGTCATAGTGAAACCATCTGAATGTGCACATCTATAAATCAGTTGTGTCAGACTGAAATCATAAAACATCAGAATAATTTTCTGGCTTGCTTTTGGAGCAGTGCTAATTTTTAATCACTTTATAACAAAATTTTCCCATTGTTTCTCTATTAATTTTACTATAAAATAAGTGAAACACTGGAAATGAAACATACCTGGTGGGGCCACCATTCTCTGCCATTTTTGAAATAAGCAAGTCTTCAAGCAGTCTCGAGGACTTAGATTGTAAGTTTTATGTCTTGACATCAGTTCCTGCATTGGCTCCAGTATTACACACAACTGGAAGGAAAAATCAGAATAGAATGATTTAATCCAAATAAAGACTCAGGTGATCAGTATTTACATAGCTGGAAACTATGGTTTTGGATTTTTTTACACTTGCTAACAGAGTATGCCTTGTACAGTTCTATTTAATCTGTACTGGGATTGAAGGATCAAAACTCTGAATTGTGAAAATATTTGCTCACTATTTGCTATCCTAAGTATTTTTTAGATATATTAGATAAACGTCAGCTCTGGTCTTCCAGGCTACAGAGATTTCAGAAGACTAGAAAATGTTTATGCTTGATTGTCAAAGCTGCAAAGATTAATTAATAACTAATAAAATGACCATAGTGGCTTATCATTTCCATAAAGCAAAATGTACACACAGTGTTCTTCTGACCTGCTGCACTCCACAGTGAGGACTTCTCATAAATGATCTTTTATCTGGCTATTGCATGCAAAATAATTCAGATAATTTTGTTATGAGGTCTATACATTCTCTTCCTATCACATGAATGACACATAAAAAAAAAAAAAAAAAAAGGAAGAATTTTTATTTTCCTTGTCCACTTGAATGCTGAGTGTATAAGATGGAGATTTATGAAAGCATGGAATTTCAAGCAAACACCTTTTTAAGAAGAGAGTCATATTTTCTGTCTGTTCACTTATCATTAACATCACTGTTCACTGCTTTGTACTCCTGTTAGCACAGCAGATCCAGCATAAAGAACACTGAGCTGGTTTCTATTGTCTCCTGTTTATCATCACAGAAGTGTTTTCCGTTGGTTAAACCTCATGCAAAGCCATAGAAGGCTACAGAATTGCACATATGTAACTGAGGGCTTACTTTTGCTTTCAGGATCCCTGGTTTTTGGTCATCCTACATGAGAAGAAACAATCCAGGTTGACCTGTAGGTTCTACCTGAAATTTTCAAAGCTGGCACATAGGAGGAAAAGGTTCCTTACTTGCATACATATGGTAAGGAAGTAGCTGGCAGGGAATAAGCATGGAGCCTGCATGCCATTTTTAGTCACTTTTCAAAGCAGAGCTGGATTTAGAGACAGAGGCTGGTTTGGCTTTTCTTTTTTTACCAACAGAAGTTGATCAAATTATTAGAAGTTAGAATGGCAACTGCAGAAAGGCATAACATAAGCCAGTCTTGTTTTATTTACTTAATTTTAGCAAGCTTTGCTGAAGGAGCATCTAGGATTTACTTCAGCAGGCAATGTTTTCCTTTCATGCTTTTACAAATATATGACAGGAGGCAAATTCTTCTTTCTGGGCTGCAGAGCTGATCAATGCTTGCTCCATTCCCCCCACGTGCACCCCACTCTCATTCATATAAATGGAGATGCAAAGTATGCAGAGAAAATAGCTGAAAGGGAGCTGCCATTAGGACTAAGAGACTAATTCAGCATTTAAATATTACTGTGTATTGGCACTGCCATTTGATGAGCCTTTCATTAACAGCAGTTAAAACAGAGATAACATAAAGCAGCAGGGAGAATGAAGAGCTGCAGTATGAGAAATTATTTTTTTCCAACTGCAGAAATTGAATCTGCAGTTGCCTCATTTTCTTTTTTCTTTTACATAGAGTTTTTACATATTTTTGGTAGATAAATATCTACAAGATAATCTAACAGACAGAGAGCAGCTATCAGATTGTGCACTTTGGGCTCAGATTTTCCTGCAGGTTTTTATGCATATATTAGATTATACATTTTCCTACAGTTCAATATCCTACCAAAAATTCATAACATCAGGTCCTAAAATAAGTGCAGGGTCCAGTTTATGCTGTAAAAGAAGTGTTGTATTTTGAATTCTTATTAAATTCATTCTGAAACCTGCAGGCATTTGCTCAGGTTTTGTGTGTGTGTGTGTGTGTGAGAGAGGGAGAAAGAGAGAGAGATTCGTGACCACAATGGACCCCATTGTTTTGGTTCCCAAAAGTCTGTGTTTCTGGCAGAGCTACCTAAATTTTCTCATTATGAGCAGATAGAAACTAGCATGAGAAAGATGGCTGGGATAATTCTGAACAAACTAGTTACTCTGGGCAGAGCACTAGACTCACATAGCTCTACTGCTGTTGGAACTAAAAATATGTAAATACACATATAGGGTCTTCCCAGATTTCCTTAGGGACACTTTATTCATGACACACCTACTCCTCCCTATATATTTATTGTTGGCAACAAAGAGAATGTTTCTTCTTTATCATCTTGGCAAAGATGTTTCCTATTGTGCTCTAACTGTAATGTGTACTGAGAACTGCACCATCCCTTCTGCCTGTAGATATCTTGACTGTTAATCCCATCTATAATCTTTTTCAGTCCATACACGAGATTAAAATGGGATACAGACAAAATTTAGCAATGCTTGACTGATCTTGTATGAATAGAGTCAAATTATGAGCACTGAGGCCCCTCCACTAGGGCATGGGACAGTCTCATCTTCTGGATACTTGGGAGCTGTATGGACTCACATGAATTCCTCTTCTGGTTTTGGGGAGTTCACAACCATTTTTTCCCTCTAAAATCTGCAAATTGTAAGGTCAGCTTTGGATACCTGAGTAACAGAGGAACATTTCACTCTATGGTTTTAAATGCATCTAGCTCACGTGAATTGGGCACGAGTGTAAAATGAACCAGATTAACAATGATTGATATTAAATCTCACAGTCTTTTTCAGTGACCTTTGAGACCTACTTGAAATCTAAAGTGACTCAAAACAAAATCCCTGAAAGAGGAAAAGATCATTCTCCAATTATCTCAAGTCTGAGGAACTTGCCCGTGACAACCAGTAGCTTGGGTTTTGCAAAAACCTAGATTAAAAATGTGGGGACAAGATGCATTTAAGAGCTAGGCTGGCCAAAGCCACCTGCCATCTTCAACAACTAGTGAGCAGGATGGCAGGCTGGGCTGACTGCATCATTTTACAGAGCAACTTCTTAAAACAAAGCTAATGAAATGTTTTACATACTTCTACATTCATTGGCATACAGAAGAAGCCTGAGGCTTAGACTGCCTATTCCCCACAGATCATCTAGTCTCACTCTGTGAGATGCCTTTTCAAAACATCCATTTGAACATTTTTTCAAGCACTGGATAATACCAAAATGTATAAGCCTTTACAGTAGTACTATATTAGCAATATTTAGAACACCAACAAAACCAATCCCTTCTACAAGTGATTTCTTCACAGCTTGAGATCAGTCACCTAGGAAAACACCCTACAGACTTCTAGAATTTAGTGCAGTGATGCTGTATGATCACAGAAATAATTTCTACATTCCTAGGAAAGAACCTTTAAAGGCAATGCTTGACAAGAGACAGTTAGGTATTTCCAAGCTCCATATTTAGGCAACACTAAAACTGGGACTCATTTGCCTGCACATAGGTGTCTGGTACCAGCTGAAATACCCTAGGTGGTGCTGGGTGTGATCCATCTCATCACTCTGGCTGTCCCAGAAGGACACAATGTGCATGTTTCAGGCAATAGACTGTGTCTGCAGTGTGTGGGCAATCAAACAAAGACCAAAGTTCAAAGAAAAAAATATATTTCTTTTAGCTTTTAAAACATCTTCGGAACAATGTGTATCAGATTATATATTTCCCTCTGCAGTACTAAAACGTACTGAATGAACTCCACATGATGCTTAGTAACCCAGTATTATTAGAATTAGTTTCCAGCCACCTTTCCTTATTTGAACTCATGGCAGTGATACTTGACCATTACTGCAGAACCATTGCTGTTTCACTGCCATAGCTGTGAGTTGGAGTCAGTATTAGAGATGCACACAGAGCTTCACAGTGACAAAAGCCACTGGCATGGGAAGCTTATATTTGTGGGTGCCCAGTACACACTGGGACTAATTCACACATTTTGGTACTATATAGAGTGACAGGATTTTGCTAGAGTTCCATATGGACCCTATGGACAATTCATCAATTACAGGGCTTGGATCCAACTTGACAAAATGGTAATGTTATACCCTCGGGGCTCAGGAAAGTGAAAATAGGGAACATAATAAAGCACATGGATTTTTCTTTTGCATTAGTAAAACACATCTGGAAGGATTTGATTTATCTTTTAATGACTTTTTTTTTTTTTTAGAGGAGAAGACTAGTGTTTACAGGTTTCAAAAAACAGTGTGTTTTAAGAAGGAAGTTATATGAGGAGATGCTAGAGGCACTGCAGACAGAGAGTTCTGAGAATATGGATCTACACATAATTTCCTGTAATACTTCAGATATTAGCAGAGCCCAAACCAACCTTCATTGGTAAGGGGTGACATTCAGCTCTGAGATCACTCCAGTCACACCACTAATGGTTTTAGCCTTGTGATTTTTTGTTCTACTGCTGGGTTTTTATTCTATTCCGAGAACAGATGCTCATTCTGGTAGCAGTGAAGAACAGCAGAAAGACCAAGGCGAAAAACTCTCTTTTACCTCACTTTTGCATACCATAAGCTTATGTATTCTATTGCTAATTTAATTAGCAATTACCCTCTTCAGTGAAACCTCTTGTCTGCACAAGATTTTTCCCATCTGCAGCTGGTGAAGGCGCTGAGGTCCTGCCGGCTCTGAGCTGCAGGTGGCAGAGCTGCCCCAGCTAACAGCTCTCCCTGCCTCCAGCCCAGCAGCACAAAAGAACTGCAGCCGTTCGGTTTTTCAATGCTTTTTGCATTTTAAAGAGAAATCAGTGGGACTCAAGTCTTGCAATACTTAGGTGGTGAGACTGACATAGTCACCCAGACAGTTTCTTTAAAGGAAGAAACATATCTGGTCAGTAAGTGCTGAGCAGCCAACTAGTCCCACAGTCTACCAAGAGAAGCCAAGTTCGGAGTATCTTCCCATGGTTACCCATTTTGTCTGTACAAACAAAAGTTCCACTAACCACAATTTAAAAATTGGAATTAACTACAATTTTTCATGTAGATGACACGTACAAATGTTAATGTATAATATAACATCAGTTTCCATCAGTTTTTCGGAATGAGCCAGCAAGGAACCAG